TATGCTTATATATACACATATATTTAATGAAGTATATATATATATATATATATATATATATATAAGTTTTACAATATTTTTCATTACTAAATTTATTAAATTAGGTATTTGTATTCAAAAAAGTAAATAAGTTTTTTTTTTTCGTAAAATATTTTTATTATTTTAGAACTTTATTTTATTTTTAATTAATTTATTTATTTTTACAGATTGAAACCAGTAACAATATAATTTTTTTCCGGACACTGTATATCTGGATAGCTACTAATCAAGTCTAATCAGATAATTGATTATTCGGAGAAAACATATTGGATCACGAATACTTCCAAAACCTCAGATGTCCGATTTGTGCCTACTCTTACATGTATTTGTATGTAAAAAAAATATATCAAAGTGGTTGATAAATATATAAATATACTATAATTAACATTAAAAACATTATTCAAAATAACACATGAAATATAATATTCTATTAAAATAAATTTAGTAAAAATTAAATAAGCCTAGACAGTAGTGAAATTTTTTGTAAATTGTCTTTTTGTGTAGAACTTTTGTATAACTCGTAGAACCGGGTATGTAAGTTTTATCCTGAAAAATGTAAATATAGTGTGAATGCATTTAGCAGAGTTTGGCTGAGATACTCTTTGACACGTCAGCGTATTCATTCTCAAATCACGGTGAGGCTACCAAGTGAAAAACATAATGTGAACACATTAAATAACAATGTTTCTCCTTTAATATATAAGGGATAAGTTATTGAGACAGTAGTTCATACACAAAGGTGTAAAACAAGTGGGAAAGAATTATGAAAAGGCATAGTCTAATGTGGTAGATGAAACTATTTTCAAGTTCTTTATTAGTTTGATAATAGAGGAAAAACTTAAATATATGTCCCACTCGAAATGATAATCTCTGAAATATAAAATATGAAGGATTAATGATATCAAAATTCATGTTCTCGGAACTCTAGCTATTGAATCGAAGTATGCTTTTGGGATATATGAAATATTTGAGTTAAACAATATTTACTCAGAAATTATATATCAATACAATTATTGATTTGATAATAAAAACTCTCAAAGAGTTATAGACATTTGTATTTTGGAAGAAAACTCTTGGCAATACCATATTGTGTTTATGTATTCCAAACTAAATATCTATAAATGAGATGTTATCTTAAAGATCATTATACGAAGATGCTCATATATTTTTGGTCTTCAAGTAACATATTTAAAATGTTATTTGAGAAAAGTTACTAATCTTTTATGTGACTAAAAGATGTGATTACATATGACAATAAAGAAATTCATTAAAATAACTTTATGATAAGAAATGAATAACTCGTGAATGGTTAGACGAGTGTATGTAAAGATATTTGGCCTGAAGTCAAAATATACCAAGAAAATTTTGTCTATGTCAAAAGAAGAATTATAGACTAAAAGTATAAAGACATAAAAATCAAAAGATTTTATTATGTTCAAGCTCAATTCACAAAAGAGATATTTTTTCCTTATCATGGTTTTTAACTCACTGGGTTCTTATTTAACAAGGTTTTAATGAGGCAACAAAGAACAAACAAATGATAGACACTCAAGAGGGATGTTATAATTTCAAAGATGAAAGTCTATGACCCTTCCAAATCCTTTGAGATCATGAGTTTTAGCAAGAATCAACGACGTGAATCATATCAAGACACATGTTCTGCAGAAGAATGACGATGTTCGTATCCTACAAGTTCGTTCAGATGACAATTTTGCTGACTTATTCACTAACCACTGCTACTTCAGCAAGCTAATTCATCTTATCGGATCATATTGTCTCAAAGATCTCGATGTATGTACATATGAGGGGAAGTCTTTGCGCGTTGCATTCTTTTTCTTAAACCATAGTTTTTTCCATTGAGTTTTTCTAGTGATATTTTAACAAGGAGGCATCTCACCTACATAATGATTATCAAGTGAAAGTATTATGAATATTGTGATGATGTCCAGAGATGGACCCACTTTCAAGGTAAACACCCCTTAAATAATGTAAAATAGATTTGTAGGCTAATTTTGTTAGGAAATTAACACCTGAGTTGGTTTTTTTATGTTGGTTATATTTGTAGGCTAATAATGTAAAGACATACCCCTAACACCCCCATAGTCTGCCTTCGAAGAACTTCTGACCTCTGTTTATTTTTTTAGAATCGGGTCAAAATCCCAATTTACTTATTTTCTGAATTTTTTTATGTTGGATCTTAATTTTAATTTACTTCTTTTCTGGGCTTAACTTTAAATTTAATTAAACTATTTATATTTTTAACTTGTGTGGGTTTTAACCCAAATTCAACATATGTGTTTTTATTATAATATTTTCTTTCATATATAATTATTTTCACACAATCAAATATGATAAAGTATAACATTAAATGTTTTAATAATATTTTGTTTAAATTATTAATATAAGTTATAACACTTGTAAAAACCAATTTTGGATCCGCCACTGGTGATGTTCATTTGGCAAATCATAAATATACTTGTTTCTCAAGTTATACTCTCTCTCAATGTTATTTTATACCTATATAATAGGTGTTTTGTCCGCACTTGCGGACATAATTCTCTTATAAATATTAATTAGTTGATGTTTCATTAATTTAAAAACCAGCATAATAAGTTATTATTTATGTTTTTAAAAGTACAAATCAAACATCAAATAATTATCAATGAAAAACTTGAACATCAGAAATATTTTAGAGAATATATTTCTATAATTGTTTTGCTTGATTTATATTTAATTATAATTTTTTATATCTTAATTTCCAATTTTATAATAAAAAACATATTTTTAAGATAACAACATAATGCATAAGTTATTTACTTTCTGAAAAAATAATATGAAAACTATGTTTTAGTTATAAAATAATTATATAAGATTATAGAAATTATGACATATAATTAAAATTACCTAAAATCATGGAGAATTTAATAAATCAACAAATTCACTTCTTAAATAATTTTCTTTAGTGATGATTTATATTTAATTAATCGTAGATAATTTTCTATTTTACTTTTAAATTATATAATATAAAATATATTTTCTAGATAACAACATAATACATAAGAATTACTTTATTTTCTAAAAGTATAATATTATTAGTGTAAATTTATTTCAATTTTTATATCATAATTTTAAATTTCTAATAGAAATCATATATTCTCAAGACATCAACTTAATACATAAGAAGTATCTTATTTTCTAAAAATCTGATACTTTTAATATTTTTTTTAAATATATATTAAATTATATAAAAAATTATAGAAATTATCAAAATTACCTAAAAATCATGGAAAATACGACAAATCAGCAAACATCAAATTTACTTCTTAAATAATAGTATAGATTTTTATGTGTTATTTTTAAATTTTATAACAGAAAAATATATTTTCAAGATAACATCATAATGCATAAGAATTAATTTATTTTCTAAATATCATATTATTAATATAAATAAATTTTAATTATATAATCAATAATAAACAAAATAAGAGAAATTTCTGATAAATGATCAAAATTACCTAGGATCATGGAGACAAATCAACAAATTCACTTTCAAAATAATTGTTTTGATGATTTATATTTAATTATTAATAATATAAATTTTATATCTTAACTAAGTTTTATAATATGAAAATAGATTTTCAACATAACAATATAATACGTAAGAAGTATCTTATTTTATAAAATTATACAATTATTAATATAAGTTTCATTTAGTTATATAGTAAATATAATAATATTTCTATCTTAATTTAAAATTTAAGTTTTATATATAAAGTATATTTAAAGATAACAACATAATTCACAAGATTTATCTTATTTTCTAAAAAATATAATATATTCATATAAATTCGTTTTATTTATAAGTAAATTATATATAAATATTAAAAATATGATAAATAAATAAAACTACCTAAATTTATGGAGAACATGACAAATAAGCAAATCTTATATATTAAAACAGAAGTCATGACTTGACTTCATGTGTGATTTTTTTAAAAATGAACTATTACTAGAAAGTCATGTTACATTAACTCTCTAATAATCTTATCATTATTATATCTTATGAAAAATCATATCTATAATAACAAAGATACGCTTAACAATTGGTTTTGGTAAATTACCCCACACCTTCCAACTTAGTCACGCAAAACATGTCAATAGATATAAGTTTAGGAATATTCTATTATTTTAAGGAAATATGTCAATAATAGTTAAATGCATCCACAATATATTAACAAAAATCACAGATTCGTAATATAGAATATTTATATACCCTAACAAAATTTACACGTTATATATACTAGATAAATTTATTTCTATGTAAAATTTTAAAATTATATTGTTTAAAAAAAGAAATTGTTTAAAAATTCCTTTTAATAAAATTCTTTATAATATTAATTTATGAAGTTATAAGTTTAGATTTTAGCAAAAAATTCTTCGAAGTTTATATTATCTTTGCAAATTAAAGTATATTAATATTTAATCAAGCTCTATTTATATTACTTTATCTAAAAATGAAATACTAATCTAACAAACAATAAACTATAGAAAAGGAAACAAACACAAGTTTGAAAAATATGTATAATATATTTGATTAAAACATGTATTATATAATATTATTATGTTTGAAAATATTTACTATACATATTGTAAATATATGATTATTATAATATATACCAATTTACAAGTGAAAACAAAATGTTTATATAACTAACTATAAACAAAAACAAACACCCGCGCGGTTGCGCGGGTCAAAATCTAGTTTATTTCTTAAATAATAATATAGATATGGTTCATTTTCAATGGAACAAGACACATGAATTCCCTATCTTCTCTCCTTATGTATAACAAAATTAACATATCATAAAAAGGAAAAAAAAAAGAGGCGGCACAAAACCCACCACTTACATAAACCCCAGCTGGCAGGTGATCTCAAAGTAATTTTGCCTTGCAACGTAACCATGATGAGAATGCTTCTACAACACGCAAAGCGTCACATGATACGCACCTTCGGAACCCTATCTTCGGTGAATCAAACTTCGCAGCATCGTCTGAAAAAAGCCCTTGACCGGAATCCACTAGTCATCCCGGTGCTACAACAGTGGCGGTAAAAGGGTTATCAGATCAACCCTTCTCACGTAAGAGTCATCATCAAAAAGCTTCGTGATTCCGACCAGTCTCTCCAAGCCCTTCAGGTTTCATTTTCTATCTTATTTATACGTATTCATCGATCAAAGTCTGTCTTATGGTGATGTATGTTATTAGGTGTCAGAGTGGATGCATAAAGAAAATATATGTGGTCCAACTCCAGAAGACTTTGAGAAGATGAGAGAGGTAGGTATCCGCATGAAATCTTCACCGTTCAACTCGATGCTCTCTCTTCGTGAGAACAATGTGGCTCTCGATAACCTCATGGTGAACAAAGTCTTGAGGATATATGCAGCTGAATCAAAGGTAGGATCTATGGCAAGGTTTATGAGAATATGGAGTGGAGAAGAAGGGATCAAACTGGAAAGAGAGACCATGGTTGCAATGGCAAATGCTTACGCTAAAAGGCCGGATCAACAAAGAAAGCGATAGAGATGTATGGTGGTGTGGCAGGGAGTAAAGGAGAAGTGCAACGTCTTTGGAACGAGTTAAAGAAGAATGAGGAGTTGGAGGATGACTGGTTTTGCCGTCTTTTTGACAAAAATGAAAAGTTGGAGGATGATGAGTATCAAAATGTTATTGCTTCTTTTTTGAAGCTAGACGATGTAGAAGGAGCCGAGAAGGTATATGGAGAGTGGGAACCGACTGGACCGAAGCTGGACTTGAGCATACCTGGTTTGCTAATTTCTCGGTTTTGTGCTGAAAGAAAACGAATTGAAAATTGGGGAGTTGATCAGTTCGATTAGAAAGAAGAGAAACGTGATGCACTTAAGGATGGTGAGGGCTTTTATAGTCAGAGTCGTTGAGTATATTGCTATTTGTGTGTTCTTCTTATGTGTCGTGGTCATAACATTGCTAGGAAAATCATGGCGGTGGATTTTATTGTTTGGCTTATTTCACAGAAGATGATTATATGCTTTAGTCGTGTTATCTTTTAGGGGTGGGCATTTAGGTTTTATTAGGGGTTTGGTTTAGTTTGGGTTGTTTGGGTCTAAGAAAACTTTACGCAAAGCTAACCCATATTAGTTTAGTTTGGTTTATTTTCGGTTTTAGTTTAGTTTGGTTGGGTTTGTGTTCGGTTCCGTTTTAGTGTGGTTTGGTTTGTATTTATTAGGTTTAATATGGTTTTTTATTTTATTTTTCAATTCAATCGAGTCAAAATTTTAGTTTTGTTTTAGTTAAATTACAAAAGTATAATTTATAAAAACATTAACAAATCATCATCTGACACTAAATAATTGTTTTCGCCATATTTAAACATAAAACCAAATATTATAATAAATATATAGAAGATGTAATCGAATAATTTTATATTATTATAGTCAAACTTAATATAAAATCATAAAATATTTGATTTTGATGTTAATGTATAGATTCATATTTTTTAGTTGTGTTTATTCTATTCATTTAGAAGTAAAATATATAAAATTATTAGTTATTTAGATTAAATGGTTAAATATATGAACTCTAATGTTATTAATACTAGATTTTACCCGTGTGGTCACGCGGGATTTTTTAAATTTATAAATAACATTTCAAATAAGAAAGTGATGATTTTATGATATTGTTTAAAATTTTATGTAGAATATTGGTGGAAAATGTTGTTGTTTTACTTGAGTGAACTGTATTTTTAAATAAGTCTTGAACCATAGTTGATAAGTAAAATCTATTTTTATGGGCTGTATAAAACATTATATTTTATTTGATACTAATAAAGTAACAAATTTTCAAATTTGCAAATAAATAGTAATAAATTTGTTTTTTTTATGGCGATGTCTACCTTAATAGGTTAATCTTGTAGATTGCATGCCATGAATTTTTGGTTGGTTAGATATATAAGAAACAATTTATGATATATATATATATATATATATATACTATATATAAAGTGTTACGGAGAACTATAGTTCTCTCAACTTTTATTTTCTATCAAAAGAAGAACTATTATTTACAAGTGAAACTTAAATTAAAATAAATAAATTATTTGTAACATGTAGTTATATAAATTAATTTTTATAGAATTAAATTTTCTTTTAAAATTGAATATAGAGTTTGACCCGTGGTGTAGGTAGATTTTTTTAAATATAATTAAAAATTTGAAATTTTTTATTATAAAAACATTAGTTTTAGGGTTCTATCAATATTTGTGTACATAATTTTGTTCAAAAATTATGATTTAGCATGTATTTATTTTATGTGTGATGAAAATGGATTTGTTTCTACTGTAATCTAACAAACCAAATGCGTGTGTATTTATTTGATTTTTAAATGTTACCAGCAATTTAAGAAATTTTGTTATAGCACACAAGTTTTTAAATATCAATAAATAATAATATATTTACTTATCAAATCTCACAAAATATTAAAATAATAGATGTTAAAATATTATTTTTAAACACAACATATAAATATATCATTAATAAATATTTATCTATAGTATATCTAAATAAATTTTAAAATGTGTTGTATGAAACTTGCAGAAACTAAAACTCTATATTAAAGAAGATTATATATTTGATTATTTCAGACTATAATTTATCTATCAAACTCAAAAATATATTAGTAATTAATAACAATCAATAATAATATAAATTAAAATATGTAAAACAAATTACTATAGATTTTTAATGACGAATAAGAAACTTAAACAACAAAATTTTAGAGTTATATAATATATAACATTAAATTTAAATCATATATTTATTTATTTTTATAATACTATCAAAGTTTTATATTTATAAAGTGAAAAATCTATGTGGGACAAACTCTAGTACATAGTTTTTTTATTTAGGTTCTAGGAATATATAATGCTATCTAGATAAATTTTAAATTCTTAAACAAAAACATTTGTATTTCAAATAAAAAATAAAGATATGGGGTAGTATTATGAAAATTCAATTTTGAAAAGATGCCAAAAAGATTTTGCTGGAGTTATTTCATTTATATTTCAAATAGAAAGATAAAGATATTTTAAGATATTATCATTAAATTATGTAACATTTGATAATCTTTATGGCTAGAGTTAAAAAAATATCACACATAAATCAAAATTGTGACTTCTGTTTTAATATATACTAGATTTTTGACCCGTTCGTGCGGATATATATATATATATATATATATATACATTTAATATTAATATAAACATTTAAAATATATAATTTATTTTTTGTGTCATATTATGTACCTTTGTAATCTTATTGTTTATGTGTTTTAACATTATTAATATATAATATTTTCTAACTTTACTTAGTTATTCAATATTATTAATGTATAATGTTTTTTTTCTGCTTTTTATACATGATAATATATTTTTGAATAAGTGCAATAGATTCATAATATGAAATAATCAAATAGAAATTCTCTTTTAGAATATGTTTTTAATAAAATTCTATAAGTTGCATTCAGAACATTTTTTTATATTTTATTTAGTATATTAGAAAATAATGTTTGCTTAGGTTAATTTATATTTCCATTTTGTGTTTAAAATATAACTTTAACATATATCCTTTTAGGATATTTTGAATTTTTAATTAATTATATTATTTTATTTAACTAATTTCGCCATATTATCTTGATAAACATTATATATAGTAGCATCTCTGATTTGTTTTATTAAATTAAGATTTCAAAATACTATTCGACTTTGTTTTTAAAATAGTATTTTTTTTGTGTTCCATTTAAAAGACACTTTAGCATCTATAATTTTATTTTTTATAATTTGGAATTTTTCCATTTTGAGTTTAGAATTTTTTAAAAATTGTATATTTGGTCAAGAAATATTTTGAAAAGTATGATATATTTTTTATTTTGAAAGATTATATGACTTTGATTTTCTTTGTTACTAAATTAATGCATTAAATATAATATTTTTAGATAATATATTATTGTGAGTTTTAAATTAAATAAAAAATAAGATATAGTTGTAGATATAAAATTTTAACGTATGCTAACATTTTGTATAACAGTGAATAATAGTTTTTTATTCAGAAATAAATTTTAAATTTATAATTTAATTTATCAAATTTATGTATTTTTATTTACCAAATTTATGTATTTTTATTTAATTCATATAGTACTTCTATTTTAATATTATATAGACTATAATATGAAATTTATAAAATAAGATAGAACCTTATTTTTGTTTTAAAGTAAAATTTTAATTAATATTAATTTGTTATATTGTTAATTACAAAATTAATTATTGTGTCATTTTATAAAAATATATTTAAACTTTTAAAAAGTTAGATGTTTTTCCTTAACTGATTTTTTATGATTAAAAATAAGTTTTCATTTTCAGCATATTTGGTATATATTTGATTGATTAATGTAAATAATCAAATATGTTATATCAAGTAATTTATAGTGGGGTTGATTGGTTGAACTTTAACTATTGACTTTAGCTTTATTTTCTATCTACAATCATATAAATCACCAAGCATGCTTTAAGTAGTTTTTAAAGCTAAAGCTAAAAAATATAAAAAAGAAGCTGTAGGAACCTTATTTTCTAAAGCAAAAAATTACTATTGTAGGATTGCTGTAGGCATATATTTTCTTTTTCTATTTTTTCTCATTTTATTTCTATAGCTACATTAGATACAGCTACATCTAAAAATTCTACAAACTAAATTCTACAGTAAAATTTCTACAGTTACAGTCAAACCATCGCACTTAGTATTTAAGGGAAATAAATTTTAAAATAAAAATTTAATTTAGCAAATTTATCTATTTTCTTATTTCATTCATAGAGTAATTCTATTTTAATATAATAAAGACTATAATATGGAATTTTTAAAAATAGACTAATTTTTATTTATGTTTTATAGTAAATTTAACTAATACATAATAATAATATTATATTATTACTTACGAAATTCAATATTATGTTATTTACATAAATTATAAATTTAAATTTTTAGTAAGATTTTATTAAATTTTTTCTCAACTGATTTTGTTATAACTTTAAATAAAATTTAAAATTAGACATGTTTGGTATATATTTGATTGATTATTGTAAGTAATCAAATATGTCACAATCGCGGGGATGTTTGTTTTCATTTTTATATACATAAATATTTTTTTAGAACATAAGTAGTATATATATTAACGGTAATCATATACTGAAATGTTTATATAACTATTTCAAATACAATAATTTTATAATATTAAATAATATTTTTCATAGAAAATTTAATATCTCAAAACTATAATAATCTTTACTACATTCTCTATTTATTTCTTTATTTTTAAAAATTAGTTTTTATTGGTGAAAGACTCATTGATGAGGGATTTGATGTCTAATTAAGGTTTATTTCAATTTGTTAGGTTTCAGAGTGGATGGATGAAAAAGGGCTTGTAATTTTTTTTCCGGAAGATTATGCAGCTCGGCTTCATATGGTTGAAGTTGTGTTGGGTCTGGAACAAGCAGAGAAGTTTTTCGAAAACATACCTGAGAACATGAGGGATTACACAGTCTACTCAGCACTCTTAAGCTCTTACACAAAGTCTGACAAACATTTGGGTAAGGCCAAGGCAACGTTTGAGAAGATGAGAGAGTTAGGTTTCCTCATGAAACCTTCACCGTTCAACTCCATGCTCTCTCTCCAAAGTCAAGAAAACATGGTCGAGGAGCTTCTTCGTGATATGGAAGAGAACAACGTGGCTCCAGATAGTCTCATGGTGAACAAAGTCTTGAGAATATATGCGGCTGAGGAAAACGTAGAAGCTATGGAAACGTTTATGAAAATGTGGAGTGAAGAAGAAGGGATCAAACTAGAAAGAGAGACCATGGTTGTAGTTGCAAAGGCTTACGCAAAAGCCGGATTAACGAAGGAAGCTATAGAGATGTATGGTGGTGTCTCAGGGAGTAAAAGAGAAGTGTACCGTCTTTGGAACGAATGTAAGAAGAATGAGAAATTGGAGAATGATGGGTATAAAACTGTTATTGGTTCTTTGCTGAAGCTGGACGATGTAGAAGGAGCAGAGAAGGTATTTGGTGAGTGGAAACCGGTTGGACCGAAGCTGGACTTGAGCATACCTGGTTTTGCTGATTTCTCGGTTTTGTGCAGAAGGAAACGAATTGAAAGTTGGGGAGTTGATAAGTTCGATTGGAAAGAAGAGAAATGCGATGCACTTAAGGTTTGGGATGGCTTTTATAGTCAGGGTCATGAAAGGTGTTGGTAGTGGTGTGGCCGTCTTTTGTTTTTTTGCCATAGTGATAAATCCGTACTTGTTTTTATTGTTTCTTCTTGTTTTGAAAAGAGCGTTTTTTTAATTTTTTTTTCCAGAACAAAATGTTTGTTGGATCCCAATTAAGATTAATAACATACAAAGAAATACATAATATTAAAGATAAAGTAAAAAAAAAAATGCCAATAGACAACACAAGAGCATCAAAATAAGCTTTAGTTGCAAATAAAGGATGAGCTTGACGTAACAAGATGTCACCAGGATGGCAGGATGCTACCGCATTTGCAGCGGTGTTACTATTCAGCAGTGACTATGATTAAGGCTCCATATCTCAATTTTAAAGAGCTGATGAATTGAAGAGGAGAATAAAACCTGAACCCACAACACCAAAACTACAAGGAAACAATGCATGTGGCATAAAGAAGTGAAACAGTCCATGCACACCAGTAACAGCTATTAGAATGCATCAACAACAACCCAAATTATTGTAAACAATAGAAAAGATATCCAATAATCCTTGAAGAGAGGTCAATCTTAAGCCATAACATAATCTTGCTTCTAGATGAAACAATGATACCATGAAAAAGAAGAACGAAAAAAAAAAACAAGATAAAATAGAAAAGTAACAACAAAACAAAACTTACAACCCGTCGATTTTTTGGTCCAACTCAAAGAAGAGTCATGTGAATAACAACAAAACTTACACCAATACCATCACCGTCGACATAACTATCAGATTTGACATAAAATCATACACTTCAAAAAAAAATAAAAATAAAGAAAAAGAAGATACTTGAAGTAGGGATGCACTTATTAAGAACATCCTCATCCCACAAACTCACAATGGGTCTCCTAATTATTTTTTTATAGTATTTAAGACATAAAGTGGATTAAGAGAATTGATTAAGAGACTTGAGAATTTGATAGCTCCATTGTAAGTCTCTTATTTTAGAGTTCTTAAAAGTAAAATAATAATAAATAATTTGTTATTAAACATATTTTTTTTATTAAATAAAAGATAATAAAATATAACATTTGAAACATAGATTTGAAAATAAAATGAAAACACACATTACTATAATAAACGAGAATAATTTAAAAAAAAACATTTGAGATCAGTTGTTGTCTTCATCACGTTCAAATCTACACCAAATATATTCAACCAAATTATCTTTGAGTTGTTGATGCATTTGTCTGCCACGAATCTTTGTTCGAACACCCATCATATTTGCGATATTTGAAGGGATATCTGTAGAATACGCCAGATCGACATGTGAACTTCGATTGTCTTCACCTTGTTAAAACTCCGAAACATCATACTGAGTGTATCCATCTCGTTCGTCTTGTACTATCATATTATGGAGTATGATACATGCTCTCATAATCTTCCCAATTTTGAATTTATCCCAAAATGGCGCTGGATTTTTAACAACGGCAAAACGAGCTTGTAAGACTCCAAAAGCACACTCGACAGCTTTCCGGACAACTTCTTGACATTGATTGGAATAGATTGGATAAAAGTTGCCCGTTTCAGATAAATACCATCTGTGAGATAATAAGCGAAATGATACTCTTTCCCGTTGACGGTGAAAGTGACTTAAGGAGCTTGACCCTTTATTATGTCATCAAAAACATGTGAGCGATCAAGAACATTGATATCGTTTAAAGTACCTGGAGGTCCAAAAAACGCGTGCCATATCCAAAGATCATAGGAAGCAACCGCCTCTAAAACGATTGTGGGTTTACCCGAACCACGAGTATATTTCCCTTTCCAAGCGGTGGAAAAATTCTTCCACTCCCAGTGCATACAATCGATGCTTCCTATCATCCCAGGGAATCCACGATACTCTCCAACATCAAGTAGTCGTTGAAGATCAGCCGGTGTTGGTCTTCTTAAGTTCTCATCTCCGAACAAATTTATTATTCCTTCCACAAAATTCTCCACACATAACCGAGTTGTAGTTTCAGCGAGCCGGAGGTATTCGTCGACCGTATCAGCTGCAGAGCCATACGCCAAGACACGAATGGCTGCGGTACACTTTTGAAAGGGAGATAGACTAGATCTTCCGAGACCATCTCTCTTTTCCCGAAAATAGGGAACTTCGCTGGCTAGTCGATCAACAATATGCATGAACAACGGCTTGTTCATTCTTAAACTTCGTCGGAAGATATTATCAGGATACGTTGGAGTCTCACTGAAATAATCATTCCATAATCGAATATGCCCTTCTTCACAATTTCTTTCGATATAAGTTCGTTTTTTTCTTTCTTCGTTCTTCTTGATCACCACGAATAGCTAAATTCTCAAACACTTGATCAAAATATCGATAAAATTTTTGATCAAAGAACTCATCAAAGGCCTCATCCAATGACTCATCTAAAGTATTTTGAGACGATGAAGCCATAGTGATGATTGTAAAGAAAGACTTGAGAATTTGATGGCTTGGTGGGAATGAGAGTGAGTGATCGTTCGGTTTATAAGAGAAAGGTAGTTGATTAATTGGTTTACAAGAAAAAGAGAGTGAGTGATCGTTTGGTTTACAAGAGAAAGAGAGTGATTAATTGGTTTATAAGAGAAAGAGAGTGAGTGATCGTGAAGTTTACAAGAGAAAGAGAATGACTTATCGTTTGGAGAATACAAACATATATAGAGTGAATTATGGTAAGGAGAATACAAACATATATAGAGTGATGGTCACGAGAAAACAAACATTACATAGAGTACTAGACAACCAAATTGAACACGTCCCTGACACAACCTTCAAAGACCCGTGAAACTACCTTCCAGACCCGTGACACAAGCTTCCAAGCTTCCATGCTTCCATGCTTACATGCGTCCCCCTCCGTGACACAACCTTCCAAGACCCGTGACATTACACCAATTATCCTGCAAGTAACAAGAATACCATTAGAAAAGACAAGACAAGAGAACATTTTATAGAACAAGCTTTTATATTAAGAAAAGTACGAGAGTTTTATAGAACAATTTCAGACATGAAACATAAACATAACAGTTCCATAAACTTAACATAAAACATAAACATAAACTTAACATGAAACTTAACAGAAACTTAACATGAAACTAAACATGAAACATAAACATAAACTGAACATGAAACTTAACATGAAACTAAACATCATACAACTCGGCTATGAGTTTCTTTTTCAAAGCTCCTTCATAATCAGCTATCGGACCTTGTTTCGCAACAAGAGTCTCAAGCATCTTCAGCTTGGTGAACCTTTCCTTCATTTGCAAATCCTCCTTCTTCATGGTCCACATAGACTGGAAGTATTCCAGCTCCTTCTCCTCAAGCAGTGGCCTCTTTCCACGGGCCTTTGCTGCCTTAACACCTGGTGGACGAATCGTTTTGCCATCTACGGCATCACTGCTTTCATTTACTTTAGAACTTGCAGATTGTGAACCATCCCCACACTTTCTCCTTTTTGAGCTGTTATCATTTTTACTTGTAGTATTTTCACACCACTTCTGATCATTGCGAAGCTCATACCAAGCATGTTCAAGTGTAAACCTCTTTTTATGGTTAGCAAGGAAAATTGTGTGGGCTTCGTTTAAAACATCATTGTCGTTCGTACCACTGGGTTGCGCTCTCAAAGCTGCTTCATATGCCCCACAGAACTTGCAAACTACATCATTTAGCTTGTGCCAACGTTGCTTGCACTGGGATGCCTCTCCTGTTTCACAGCCGGCAAGCTTAGAACTTGCGTTGAAGTATGTTGAAATTCGCTTCCAAAAAGCAACTGACTTTTGCTGGTTCTCAACAACAGGGTCCTTGCTCGTGTTTAACCACGAGCTGATAAGGACTATGTCCTCTGTTGGCGTCCAAGTCCTTCGTGACACAACCTCTGGAGGAGTCTCGTCTACATTGATGGGAACTTCGTTTGATGAGAGGGAAACGGTCTGCGCACCAAAGACAACTTGTTGTTGACTATTTAATAGCTCAACAAAGTTTGAAGAGTCCTGAAATGGATTGAAATCCATTTCAGAAGTGAATGAGAGAGGCGAAACATGAGAAACATGAGAAAAAGGAGAAACATGAGAAAGTGGAGACAAGGAAGAAGGAGGAGACATAGGAGAAGGAAAGTGATATCGCATTCAACTTTCGTTGCCGGAAGAGAACACTGAGATTATAATTTTATTCAAGAAAGAGATAGTGCATTCAAGACACCCAACCAACACGTTCATTTAAAACAAAGCTGAAAAGAGGACTTCCCATGTTGTGAGTAGACATATATCTACCAACAACCAACAAACAATACATTTTTCAATGTCAAAAGCATCAACCCGAGACTAGTAATTACAATAAATTCAATTCAAAACTAAAACAACCATCAGATTACCTTCAACCATTTCATTTCAGACAAAAGATTAAGACTAAAGCAACCATTTCATTTCAGACCAGAAGGTACGCCCTTTCATTTCACACATGAAACTTAAACCGAGAGTTACCATGAAACTTAAGTCTAAAGCAACCATTTCATTTAACCATTTCATTTCAGACAATAATTTATAACTAAAGCAACCATTTCATTTCAATTTTTGGCTAGACCATCAATTTCTAGCTAACCATTAATCACAGAAGAGACATAAAGCAATTCATCACAGAAGGTAGCTCAATTCATCGCAGAAACAAACTCAATTCATCAACTCTTTTCAGTTCAGACAAGAAGAGACATAAAGCAATTCATCACAGAAGGTAGCTCAATTCATCGTAGAAACAAACTCAATTCATCAACAACCAGAAACCAAATCAAAATTAATAAACTCGCACCAAACAAATAACAACTGATCGAACACAACTAACAAATCAATCTATAGACAGTATCGAACACAACTTTAAAATCAATTTCGAAACAGAAGAACCAAAAAGTAAGACATGCATGATTCAAGATTTACCTTTTGATTCGAAGAGACCAACCACAAAGAGCTCCATCGCGGCCATAGAGAGTCACCGAGAGACAAGCTAACCGACAAA